ATTGTCATCCGTAAGTAGAATATGAATGGACATTTCAGTTTGTTTTAAATAGCAAAGAAATTTTAAGCTGGATTGTAATATAAGTCTAGACTATAGTCTAGTCTATACTCTAGTCTATAGTCTAGTCTATAGTCTAGTCTATAGTCTAGTCTAGTCTAGTCTATAGTCTAGTCTATAGTCTAGTCTATAGTCCTATAGTCTAGTCTAGTCTAGTCTATAGTCTAGTCTATAGTCTAGTCTATAGTCTAGTCTATAGTCTAGTCTATAGTCTAGTCTATAGTCTAGTCTATAGTCTAGTCTATAGTCTAGTCTATAGTCTCTAGTCTATAGTCTAGTCTAGTCTATAGTCTAGTCTATAGTCTAGTCTATAGTCTAGTCTATAGTCTAGTCTAGTCTAGTCTATAGTCTAGTCTATAGTCTAGTCTATAGTCTAGTCTAGTCTATAGTCTAGTCTATAGTCTAGTCTATAGTCTAGTCTATAGTCTAGTCTATAGTCTAGTCTATAGTCTAGTCTATAGTCTAGTCTATAGTATAGTCTATAGTCTAGTCTATAGTCTAGTCTATAGTCTAGTCTATAGTCTAGTCTATAGTCTAGTCTATAGTCTAGTCTATAGTCTAGTCTATAGTCTAGTCTATAGTCTAGTCTATAGTCTAGTCTATAGTCTAGTCTATTCTATAGTCTAGTCTATAGTCTAGTCTAATAGTCTAGTCTATAGTCTAGTCTATAGTCTAGTCTATAGTCTAGTCTATAGTCTAGTCTATAGTCTAGTCTATAGTCCTAGTCTATAGTCTAGTCTATAGTCTAGTCTATAGTCTAGTCTATAGTCTAGTCTATAGTCTAGTCTATAGTCTAGTCTATAGTCTAGTCTATCTAGTCTATAGTCTAGTCTATAGTCTAGTCTATAGTCTAGTCTATAGTCTAGTCTATAGTCTAGTCTATAGTCTAGTCTATAGTATCTAGTCCTATAGTCTAGTCTATAGTCTAGTCTATTCTAGTCTATAGTCTAGTCTATAGTCTAGTCTATAGTCTAGTCTATAGTCTAGTCTATAGTCTAGTCTATAGTCTAGTCTATAGTCTAGTCTATAGTCTAGTCTATAGTCTAGTCTATAGTCTAGTCTATAGTCTAGTCTATAGTCTAGTCTAGTCTAGTCTATAGTCTAGTCTATAGTCTAGTCTATAGTCTAGTCTATATAGTCTAGTCTATGGTCTAGCCGATAGTTTATTCTAGTCTACAGACCAGTCTACAGTGTAGTATATAGTTTGGACTAAATTCTAAACTATTGTCTAGTTTGGATGGTATACTAATAGTCATCATTGTCAATATTTCTTTTCCAGTAAAGTGAACAAAGCTTTGGAGGCGCAAATTAAAAATCTCTGGCACACCACCAACATTTATCTGCACCCCAAAATCCATGAATATGCGGCCCGCTTAACAGCCAAATTCCCCGGTGATTTAAAGGCCGTCTGTTTTGTCAACTCTGGATCAGAGGCCAATGATATGGCCATGTTAATGGCTCGTCTTCATACTGGCAATCAGGACATACTTACCTTACGTAATTGCTATCACGGCATGTCTCCTTATACCATGGGTTTGACTGCCCATTCCACTTGGCGTTTCCCTTTGCCGGGTATTTCGAATGGTATACATCATGTTATGAATCCAGATCCCTATCAGGGTATATGGGGCGGTGCGAATTGTCGTGACTCTCCCATACAAACCGATAGAAATTGTGATTGCACTTTGGAGGGTGGTTGCAAGGCTAGCGATTTGTATTATAAAGAATTGGAACAAACATTTAAATATTCTTTGCCTAGAGGTAAAGTGGCGGCTATGTTTGCCGAGTCAATACAGGGTGTAGGGGGTACAGTACAATTCCCCAAGGGTTATATTAAGAAGGCAGCAGAATTGGTGAGAGCTAATGGTGGTTTGTTTATATCCGATGAAGTACAAACCGGATTTGGACGTACCGGCGAACATTTCTGGGGCTTTGAGGGTCATGGCATAATACCAGATATAGTAACAATGGCTAAAGGTATAGAAGAAATATGTTTTAAAATAGCACACAAATTTCTTATTATTATTTATTCCAAAAAGGTATTGGCAATGGTTTTCCTATGGCAGCTGTTGTTACCACCCCCGAAATAGCCAAATCCTTGGGCATGGCTTTACATTTCAATACATATGGTGGCAATCCCATGGCCAGTGCTGTAGGCATTTCTGTTTTGGATGTTATTGAAGAGGAGCAGCTACAAAAGAATTCCTTAGAAGTGGGCACTTATTTCCTTAAGTGCCTAGCTGATCTTAAAGAACGTTATGAAATCATAGGTGATGTCAGAGGCAAGGGTCTTATGATAGGCGTAGAAATGGTAACAGATCGTGAGACTAAGACTCCACTAAGTGTGCCTCATGTTTTAGAGATTTGGGAGTTATGCAAAGATATGGGGGTGTTGTTTGGAAGAGGTGGTCTAAATGGCAATGTAAGTATTTTTTACCATTTTTATTAGAATTGTTTTCCCTTAAATTATGACTTAAATTTGGGTGTCAGTTTTTTTTTCTTTGGCTTATTGTTAAGACCCTGCTGTTTGCAATTTTTCCTTTTTCTATATCCATTTTATGTTTATGTCCCCTTTGTGTCAATCCCTTTATTCCTACTTATTCCCTCATATGTATATATATTTCTTTCCAGACCTTACGCATTAAACCTCCCATGTGTATTACTAAAACGGATGTTAAATTTGCAGTGGATGTTCTATCTAGAGCTATTACGGAATTTATGAAGAAATATGAAAATTAAAAGCGCTTGATAGATTTTTAATAATTGGTTATGATGAAACATTGGCTTAAATAGTTTAGAGTTTAAATGGTGCTTAATTTAAGTAGAAGGTTTCCGTAATTTCTAACTAAAATTTAAGAAATCTGCGAATCTTTCATTTTAAGATTTTGTACTTATTGCATTTATATATTTTATTTTAGCTAAATATTTCTTTTACTATATTTTCTAGTTTTTAAGTTATGAAATTTGTTTAAATAAATAATTTTAACTTTAGTGTATACACATATATCGAAATGAAAACTTACCTGTTCAGACCGCTGTTTTTTGACACTTGAATGTTCTTTTGCGTAACATTTAATTTATTATGCTTCTAATAATCACTTTTATTATTTTCTAAAACAATTTTAATTAATTTGTATTATGGTTTTTATCACTGACCGTTTTGTTTGTCGATGGTTTTTTATTGTTTTGAAATTTTCGTATTTATTTGTTTTCTTGCATAGTTGTAAAATTAGTACTTTTTACACTAACTCAGGGATGTTCATTGTGATTTCAAGTTAATGTCAAAGATATTGAACAAATTGACTTGAAGGTTGCCAACCTTGCTTAAAATATTAATCAAGTTTTATATTATTCGTATAGTTTATAGTAGAAAACATAGTCTAGTTTATTTTTTAATATAAGATCTAATCTATAGTCTAGTTCTAAACCTAAACCAGAACTGAACTAACTAGGATTGAACTAGTAATGAACTAGAACTAAACTAGAACTGAACTAAAACTGAACTAGAACTGAACTAAAACTGAACTAGAACTGAACTAGAACTGAACTAGAACTGAACTAGAACTGAACTAGAACTGAACTAGAACTGAACTAGAACTGAACTAGAACTGAACTAGAACTGAACTAGAACTGAACTAGAACTAAACTAGAACTGAACTAGAACTAAACTAGAACTGAACTAGAACTGAACTAGAACTGAACTAGAACTGAACTAGAACTGAACTAGAACTGAACTAGAACTGAACTAGAACTGAACTAGAACTGAACTAGAACTGAACTAAAACTGAACTTGAACTTAACTAGTACTTAACTAAAACTATTCTAGAATTGAACTAGGGCTATAATCTAGTCTACGTTATAATCTATTATTTAGTCTATACTCTAGCCTAAAGTCTAGTCTATAGTCCAGTGTAGTCTATGGTCTTGTATACATTATAGTCCATAGATTAGTTTATAGACTAGAATGTAGTCAACTCAATAGTCTAGTTTTTAATAGGTTATAGAATCTAGTTGATCGATTAACAGACGTTCAGTTAAGATAAATATCTGCTACAATTCCATTTCTTGTTAATGTTTTTAATGTAAACATATTCTTAATGGAACATTTTCTCCTCTAGGTTATGTGTTTAAAACCTCCCCTGTGTGTCACCAAAACCGATGTGGACTTTACCATCAATATCTTGGATACCTTATTCAGTAAACATTATTTGAAAGCACCACGAAATTGGCGACAATATGATTTGAAATAAAAACAAAGATTTTCATCAAATCATTACATTAAATATATAGTATATACTCTGTTTATTATACAATTTTTTTATATTAAAAAGTTAAGCTTAGATCAGAAAATAAAAAGCTATATAGATTTCTTAGTTTTATATATAATTTTTTAGATTTAAGGATATTCTTGTTTAGTTATTCATTTTTTTTTTTGAGTGTAAGAATGTATGTGTGTGTGTGTGTGTTAAAGAGGCACAGCAGTTTTTTGTTTTAAATTGTTTTTCTTGTATATTTTTTTGTTTTCTAATTGGGATTTTAGACATTATGAGCTTTTTTACACTGTTTTTAGTAACAAAATAAATTGGAATAGAAATTAACAGATTTAGAATTTAAAAAAATTTTCTAACATTATGTTATAAACAAAAATAAATGCCAAAATAACTTAACAAAAAACCAACACAAATATTTTTCTTTTAAAATCTAGAAAAATATTGTTAACAATTATTTTATTTTTTCTTTTTCACAATAAAACTAATCACTCAATTAACATTAAAAATAAATGTTAAAAGTATTAAATAATAATTAAATTTGTTATTTAAATAAATTATATACATTATGTTTATTTGCATAATTCATTAAATAACTTAATTTATTTATAAAGTGTTATCATTTTCTTTTTATTTGGTTTATTTTGAAAGCCTTTTTAAAATAAACAAATTTTATTTTCTTTAAATAAATGCTCTTAAAAAAAACTTTCATATTAAAAAAAAAAGTTATTAATAAAAAATATATGTTTTCGTTTCATATCTTTTTGTTTTTAGTTTAGTATCATTTTATAAATATTTATAATTTAATAATAAAATTAAATTACTACAGTCTTGCTACACTTGTATATCGATTAATTTGCCATCGCTGCTTATGTCAGTAAGCAAAGTTTCCGATAATTCTTTGCGAGCTTTTTGTACCACCCAAAACATCAAGGCAACGCCACAAATGACCTGCAATTACAAGGGAGAAAATGAAAACAAAATAAAAAATAATTGAATAAATTATTATTTTATTTGACATTTGTTGATACAGAGGATAAATCCAAGTTACAATGCAAAGAATAATAAGAAGTTGGACTATGACATTGTTTTACAACAATAACATTTCCTTCTCTTCACAGACGAGTTCTGTGTAAATTCAACACACTTGTGAGAACTTAATTCTCTCACAATACTTCAAAACTTTTTCGCGAAAATACCGGGATAATAGGACTTGAACGACGTCTTTTCACAAACACGTAACTATTTTTTAATTTTTTACACAATTTTATCGCATTTAACAATCCGAAATATTTTTATTTTTCACAAACTAAAAAAATATTTTTTTAATTTTTTTGACAATTAATTTTTGTGTTGAAATTAAAATTGACAAAACAAAGTTGTATATTTTGGTATTAAAAATGAAAAAATTATTTAAAATAAACTTATTTTTTTGCAAAAAAAGAGATTTTAAGTCCGAAAAATATATTTATTAAATGTTTACTGATTAGATGTGGGCAAAAGAAATAAAAAAATCTGCGAATGTAGAAATTTAAATATTATTTATTTTTCCTAAAATTTTTATGTACGATTTTATGCAAGTATGTATGTTTGGAAAGTGTGGTGAAAGTGGTTGGAGCTCCAATACTAATACAAAAATTCTACCAATACATACTTAGAGTTAGGTACCGAATGACAACTCCTTTACGTACCAACTGACAAGCCCCAATTTCTTATTATTCTTTGTTACAATGGAAAAATTACAAATTAAAATTAAATATTAAAGCATATATTAGGGAGGAATGGAAAATAACGCAGAAACGAAAAAACGAGCAAAGGCGACTTGAAAACTACTCTACAGTGACGTTTATGCTGAAGTATAGTCTAGATTTTTAATCTGAACATAGACTATAGACTAGAATGTAGAATAGGCAATAGACTAGACTATAGACTAGACTATAGACTAGACTATAGACTAGACTATAGACTAACTATAGACTAGACTATAGACTAGACTATAGACTAGACTATAGACTAGACTATAGACTAGACTTAGACTAGACTATAGACTAGACTATAGACTAGACTATAGACTAGACTATAGGCTAGACTATAGACTAGACTATAGACTAGACTATAGACTAGACTATAGACTAGACTATAGACTAGGACTATAGACTAGACTAGGCTAGACTATAGACTAGACTATAGACTAGACTATAGACTAGACTATAGACTAGACTATAGACTAGACTATAGACTAGACTATAGACTAGACTATAGACTAGATATAGACTAGACTATAGACTAGACTATAGACTAGACTACACTATAGACTAGACTATAGGCTAGACTATAGACTAGACTATAGACTAGACTATAGACTAGACTATAGACTAGACTATAGACTAGACTATAGACTAGACTATAGACTAGACTATAGACTAGACTATAGACTAGACTATAGACTAGACTATAGGCTAGACTATAGACTAGACTATAGACTAGACTATAGACTAGACTATAGACTAGACTATAGACTAGACTAGACTATAGACTAGACTATAGGCTAGACTATAGACTAGACTATAGACTAGACTATAGACTAGACTATAGACTAGACTATAGACTAGACTATAGGCTAGACTATAGACTAGACTATAGACTAGACTATAGACTAGACTATAGACTAGACTATAGACTAGACTAGACTATAGACTAGACTATAGGCTAGACTATAGACTAGACTATAGACTAGACTATAGACTAGACTATAGACTAGACTATAGACTAGACTATGACTAGACTATAGACTAGACTATAGACTAGACTATAGACTAGACTATAGACTAGACTATAGACTAGACTTAGAACTAGACTATAGACTAGGACTATAGGCCTAGACTATAGACTAGACTATAGACTAGAACTATAGACTAGACTATAGACTAGACTATACTGACTATAGACTAGACTATAGACTAGACTATAGACTAGACTATAGACTAGACTATAGACTAACTAGACTATAGACCTAGACTATAGACTAGACTAAGACTAGACTATAGACTAGACTATAGACTAGACTATAGACTAGACTATAGACTAGACTATAGACTAGACTATAGACTAGACTATAGACTAGACTATAGACTAGACTATAGACTAGACTATAGACTAGACTATAGACTACAGACTATAGACTAGACTATAGACTAGACTATAGACTAGACTATAGACTAGACTATGAAGACTATAGACTAGACTATAGACTAGACTATAGACTAGACTATAGACTAGACTATAGACTAGACTATAGACTAGACTATAGACTAGACTATAGACTAGACTATAGACTAGACTATAGACTAGACTATAGACTAGACTATAGACTAGACTATAGACTAGACTAAAGACTAGACTATAGACTAGACTATAGACTAGACTATAGACTAGACTATAGACTAGACTATAGACTAGACTATAGACTAGACTATAGACTAGACTATAGACTAGACTAGACTATAGACTAGACTATAGACTAGACTATAGACTAGACTATAGACTAGACTATAGACTAGACTATAGACTAGACTATAGACTAGACTATAGACTAGACTATAGACTAGACTATAGACTAGACTATAGACTAGACTATAGACTAGACTATAGACTAGACTATAGACTAGACTATAGACTAGACTATAGACTAGACTATAGACTAGACTATAGACTAGACTATAGACTAGACTATAGACTACTAGACTATAGACTAGACTATAGACTAGACTATAACTGAACTAGAACTGAACTAGAACTGAACTAGAACTGAACTAGAACTGAACTAGAACTGAACTAGAACTGAACTAGAACTGAACTAGAACTGAACTAGAACTGAACTAGAACTGAACTAGAACAGAACTAGAACTGAACTAGATCAGAACTAGAACTAGAACTGAACTAGAACTGAACTAGAACTGAACTAGAACTGAACTAGAACTGAACTAGAACTGAACTAGAACTGAACTAGAACTGAACTAGAACTGAACTAGAACTGAACTAGAACTGAACTAGAACTGAACTAGAACTGAACTAGAACTGAACTATAACTGAACTAGAACAGATCTAGAACTAAAATTAGTTGTTCTTCATAAAATATCAACCGGCATCACTGATCTGCAACTACAAATTGTAAACATACTTTTAGGCTGGGTAAAAAATTATATGAAAAAAGTACTTATTTGGAATTTAAGTACCCAAAAAAATCCCTCATTATAGAAAAAAATAAATTTGTTAATAAAAAATCAAACAAATATCATTTACTTATCACAACATTATGTGTTTAATGTACGTATGAGTGTATAATTGAAACATTTGTGTTTATTCATAGATAGACTAACAATGTTTTTTATTGTTTGCTAAATAAAAAGAAGAAAAAATATTACTATGTTTTTTCCCCATTGTTAAATATATGACACATGTGCGCGCTAAATTGAGTACTTAATTTTTGTACTTGTTATTTTTCCATTTCAATACATTTGAAATAATTAATGTACAAAAAAAAAAACTAACTACAGACAACTTAATTAATTATTTAACAATATTATTATGTTGTGTAATTAGTAATATTAGTCACTAAAAAAAAAAAATACAACACTTACCTCAACACCAAAGCTAATATAACCCGTCACCGCAGTCCCATGATTATTAAGGACTTCATGCATTGACCTTAAAGTCGAGCCCAAATAAACATTAATCATTTGCGCTGGCAAAAGACCCAAAAATGTAGCAGTATGATAGACTTTTGAATTAATTGTACTGACCTGTAATTGAAGAAAAGAAAACAATAGAAAAGGAGACATGAATTCGATAACGAAATAAATGTTTAATGAAAGGGTTGATTGGGTAAAATTAACAATTGATTAAATATATTTAATTAATATTATTTTGAATTTTTAGGAAAAAAACAACAACTTAAACAATTAGACGTTTAAGGAAAGTTTGTGTGTGCTGCGGAGGAGTATTCCAAATAAACAAAAACAATTACAAAAATAGCAAACGACAGGAAAACACCTTTTGTTATTCCCATTGTCTGCATAAGGTAAATAAACGTTTCCTTGACTTATTAGTATTCGTAACGCAATATTATAATAAAAAAAATATTCGACAAAATAATTATAGTTGGTGTAAAGACCAATACGAATTGCAGATACACTACTTAACTAGAAAACGAATAAGAACAGAACTAAAACTGAAGTAGAACAGTACTAGAACAGAGGTAGAACAGAACAGAACTAGAACAGAACAGAACAAGAAGAGAACTGGAACAGAACTGGAACAGAGGTAGAACAGAACGGAACTAGAACAGAACTAGAACAGTAGTAGAAAAGAGGTTGAACAGAACAGAACTAGAACAGTACTAGTACAGAGGTAGAACAGAACAGAACTAGAACAGAACCAGAACAGTACTAAAACAGAGGTAGAACAGAACAGAACTAGAACAGAACAAGAACAGAACTAGAACAGAGGTAGAACAGAACAGAACTAGAACAGAACAAGACAGAACTAAAACAGAAATAGAACAGAACTAGAACAGAACTAGAACAGAACTAAAACAGACTAAACAGAACTAAAACAGAACTAGAACAGAACTATAAAAGAACTAGAACAGAACTAGAACAGAACCAGAATAGAACCAGAACAGAACTAGAACTAGAACAGAACTAGGAACAGAACTAGAACAGAACTAGAACAGAACTAGACAGAACTAGAACAGAAACTAGTACAGAACTAGAACAGAACTAGTACAGAACTAGAACAGAACTAGAACAGAACTAGAACAGAACTATAACAGAACTAGAACAGAACTAGAACAGAACTATAACAGAACTATAACAGAACTAGAACAGAACTAGAACAGAACTAGAACAGAAATAGAACAGAACAAGAACAGAAATAGAACTAGAACAGAAATAGAACTAGAACAGAAGAAGAACAGAACTAGAACAGTACCAGAACAGTACTAGAACAGAGGTAGAACAGAACTAGAACAGAACTAGAACAGAAATAGAACAGAACAAGAACAGAATAGAACTAGAACAGAACAGAACAAGAACAGAACTAGAACAGTACCAGAACAGTACTAGAACAGAACTAGAACAGAACTAGAACAGAACAGAACAAGAACAGAACTAGAACAGTACCAGAACAGTACTAGAACAGAGGTAGAAACAGAACTAGAACAGAACTAGAACAGTACCAGAACAGTACTAGAACAGAGGTAGAACAGAACTAGAACAGAACTGGAACAGAACTAAAACAGAAATAGAACAGAACTAGAACAGAACTAAAACAGAACTAAAACAGAACTAAAACAGAACTAAAACAGAACTAGAACAGAACTATAAAGAACTAGAACAGAACTAGAACAGAACCAGAATAGAACTAGAACAGAACTAGAACAGAACTAGAACAGAACTAGAACAGAACTAGTACAGAACTAGAACAGAACTAGTTACAGAACTAGAACAGAACTAGAACAGAACTAGAACAGAACTAGAACAGAACTAGAACAGAACTAGAACAGAACTAGAACAGAACTAGAACAGAACTAGAACAGAACTAGAACAGAACTAGAACAGAACTAGAACAGAACTAGAAACAGAACTAGAACAGAACTAGAACAGAACTAGAACAGAACTAGAACAGAACTAGAACAGAAATAGAACTAGAACAGAACTAGAACAGAACAGAACAGAACAAAACAAGAACAGAACAAAACAAGAACAGAACTAGAACTGTACTAGAACAGAGGTAGAACAGAACTAGAACAGTACCAGAACAGTACTAGAACAGAGGTAGAACAGAACAGAACTAGAACAGAACAAGAACAGAACTGGAACAGAACTAAAACAGAAATAAAACAGAACTAGAACAGAACTAGAACAGAACTAAAACAGAACTAAACAGAACTAGAACAGAACTATAAAAGAACTAGAACAGAACTAGAACAGAACCAGAATAGAACTAGAACTAGAACAGAACTAGAACAGAACTAGAACAGAACTAGAACAGAACTAGAACAGAACTAGAACAGAACTAGAACAGAACTAGAACAGAACTAGTACAGAACTAGAACAGAACTAGTACAGAACTAGAACAGAACTAGAACAGATAGACAGAACTAGAACAGAACTAGAACAGAAACTAGAACAGAACTAGAACAGAACTTAGAACAGAATTAGAACAGAACTAGAACAGAACTAGAACAGAACTAAACAGAACTACAACAGAACTAGCAACAGAGACAGAACTAGAACAGAACTAGAACAGAACTAGAACAAACTAGAACAGAACTAGACAGAACTAGAACAGAACAGAACAGAACTAGAACAGAACAGAACTAGAACAGAACTGAACAGAACTAGGACAGAAATAGAACGGAACTAGAACAAGAACTAAACTAAATCGAAACTAGAACCGAACTACAACTAAACAAGATATCATCCAAAATTTCAACACATTTCTGTGTAGGGTGCAACAACTATAAAATTTTGAGAAATCATGTATTCATGTTGCGTTTAAATAGATTTTGATTGGAAACATATGAGAAAATATAATGTAGTTATCATAAATCGGTAAAAATTAGATGTATGAAAACTTAAATTAGAAAAAAATTCAATATGTTGAGTCATATCTTTGCAAAAAAGGAGGCATTACTTCGTGTGTTTATAAATTTTATCTTTTCTTTTAAATATTGAACTCAAATATAAAATAAAGATAAAAAAATGTTTGTTAAATTTTAACAAAACAAAATCGTTTAACACTAAAATTACACTTTAATAAATGTAAATTTTTAATTTGAATTCAAAAAGCTTTAATTTTTATTATTTTTGGGGTTAAAAAACTCACCAAATTGGGCATTGTTTTGTGTTAACATAAAATGTAAACAAATAACAGCTGTGTTGCCAATTAAATAGTAAACAAACATTTTTAAAATAAACATGAGACCACTTGACAAGTCAAAGTTTTTTAATTGCAATTTTTTATTAAATATAATTTATACTGTAATAAAACTTTATAAATATATTTAATTTTTGTTAAATTAACATAAATTTAATTAAATATTTTCAATAATTTTCTATTAATGTGTGACACAATTGTTTTATATTGACTTTCGACTTCAGATATTTATGCTTTCAATTTATTTTTTTTTTTTTATTTTCATGACCACAATAACCTCATATTTATGTGTTATTTTATAACATTTAAAAGCATCTAAATACGCGTATGACATATACAATTATTTATAAATTAAATTTGCTAAAAAAATATACATTTATAATGAAAACATTTGGGCTGATCACAGGTAAACTTCAACAAAACTAGATTCTCTTTCTTATTAAAAATGTTGCAAAGATTTTCTTAAGTTTATATTAAATAATTTGTTTTCTTTATATATTTAGTTTTTGACAAGTAAATATCGTCTATATCATCTGTCATCTCTGTACGACTGTGACATTCCTTACTTGAAGTTTTCTTTTTAACCTTAACCTTCACTTTTTTGTGGAAAAGCATAAATTTTATTGAAATAGAGATTGAGAAAAACGAACAAAACCCCCAAACAAAAACTATTTGCAAATAAATAGTCAAAGTGAAAAATCTAAATCAATATGTTTGACAGTTAGAGCAGCAAATAAAATTGAAAAATAATGGAAAAATTGCAAGGTAATTTTTGTAAAATAAACAAAAATGCATTGCAAACGAGTGAAATTTGTATTATTCAATATAAATAAATTAAAATAATATATACTTTTATAAACATACCGCACGTTTAAGGTAATAATTAACAAGTTTGAAATAAAATGGATACCAAGTGGAACAAGTTTTAGAGTTTGTTTCGTTATATGTATATGATTTCATAATAACAACTAATTACTTTTTAAAAGCGTTAAATTATACAACTAAAGTATTAAATGAATTGAACATTTTTTGTGTGTATAGCAGGAAAGCAAAGTAACACGACATTTAAAGGGGAATTTTGGCAAAATGTTGTTAATTTTTTTTGGAGAATTAGAGTAATTAACATTAAAGTAAAATAATAGGGTAGATTTTTTGAATTTTATGAATACAATGCTGAACTAAAAACTAGAACTGAACTAGAGCTGAACTAGAACTGAACTAGAACTGAACTAGAACTGAACTAGAACTGAACTAGAATTGAACTAGAACTGAACTAGAACTGAACTAGAACTGAACTAGAACTGAACTAGAACTGAACTAGAACTGAACTAGAACTGAACTAGAACTGAACTAGAACTGAACTAGAACTGAACTAGAACTGAACTAGAACTGAACTAGAACTGAACTAGAACTGAACTAGAACTGAACTAGAACTGAACTAGAACTGAACTAGAACTGAACTAGAACTTAACCAGAACTTAACTAGAACTGAACTAGAGCTGAACTAGAACTGAACTAGAACTAGAACTGAACTTGAACTGAACTAGAACTGAACTAGAGCTGAACTAGAACTGAACTAGAACTGAACTAGAACTGAACTAGAACTGAACTAGAACTGAACTAGAACTGAACTAGAACTGAACTAGAACTGAACTAGAACTGAACTAGAACTGAACTAGAACTGAACTAGAACTGAACTAGAACTGAACTAGAACTGAACTAGAACTGAACTAGAACTGAACTAGAACTGAACTAGAACTGAACTAGAACTTAACCAGAACTTAACTAGAGCTGAACTAGAACTGAACTAGAACTAGAACTGAACTTGAACTGAACTAGAACTGAACTAGAGCTGAACTAGA